CAAGTACAAGACACGGGTGCGACCAAACTCGCATTTCTCACCGTTGATCTTGAACTTGTGCTGTCGCAGGAGACCGAGGACTTTGTCCAAGTGTGAAACATGTTCCTCGACAGTCTTACTAAAAATAAGTATGCCATCGAGGTACACGATGACAAACTTATCCAAGTAGCCATGGAATATCCGATTCATAGCGTGTTGAAAGGTGCCAGGAGCATTGCAAAGGCCGAAAGGCATCACCACAAACTCGTACAGACCGTACCTGATCTGAAAAGCGGTTTTGTGTTGATCCTCGGGCCGGATGGCAATCTGATGGTATCCGGACTTCAGATCTATCTTGCTGAAGTACCGGCACCCTTGCACTCTATCTAGCAGATCGTCGATGCGCGGTAGGGGCTCTCTGTTCTGTACAGTGATGGCATTGATGCCCCTATAGTCAATGCACATCCTAAGAGTTCCCTCCTTCTTCTTAGGCACGAATAGAATTGGAGACCCATAAGGAGAGACACTCGGTCGGATCCAGCCCTTCTCTACGAGTTCCTTGAGTTGGCGGCGAAGCTCATCAAGCTCGCCTGGAGATATCCGATATATCCTACCCTTTGGAATACTAGATCCTGGGATAATCTCTATCGCATGGACGACCTCCTTCTCAACAACCCCTGTAGGCTCCTCAAATAGATCAGGGTACTTGGCCACTACTCCCTCTATCTCTGGCGGCATTTTTACCGGCTCGCCCGCAGCAGAGACATAAACTAGATACATACCCTCCTCCGAATTTTGCTTACAATAGTTGTAGAACGCGGCCGCACACAAGCATCCGTGGGAATCGATCAGACTACTAGCGTTAAACTTGTGTAATCTGGCGGTTCCCCCGTTTGGCAAAGTGTGTTTGACCACCTTTCGGTCCCAGTTAAACTGGGGCTGTGCCACGGAGAGGTAGTACATACCCAATAGCATGTCCATGGGGAGTTCGTCGCTAACCAGGAATGAGAAATGATGCCTCAATTCCCCTCCCGCGTACGGGAAAAGACACTCTATGTTTTTTAGGTAATCATGGACTACCATGCGCTGTCTGTTGGCGCAGGTCGACTCCACAAGTCGACTCAGGCGCTGCACTTGCCCCTTTAAGGGCAGCCTCTCAACGCACGCGCGGCTAATAATGTTCCTAGTCGAGCAAGTGCCGTAATAGGCCCCGGCCTTGTGGCCTCCTATGACTACCTCGCTGACAAACATTTCACTCCTAGGGGCTTTGACTAACGCCGTCCAAGAAGCTAGTGGGTCTGATCTAGACCACTCATCCTCTAGCTCCTCTAAGGATTCAAACAGATTCATCGAACAGAGGGTCGATGGGTCTGAATGTGTTTGCGGGACGACTGAAGAGTCTGTAGCTTGGGTCATCTCTCGCGTAGGTGAGGGTGAATCCACCATCGCGACCCTAGTAGGAACAGCTACTACTCCTACTGGCCCGACGTGTTTCTCGGAGCACTGCCTGAAGAACTGGCAATGTTGCTACCAACGGGTTGAGAGGATCCTACCGCCGGCCCCATAGTGGGCGGGATCTTCTCGGTGACCTTCCTGTTGCGGCACTTGTATATGCTATGACCATATTGGCCACACTTGATACAAGCTTGCCGTGCCCACCGATCTCTCCACACGTCCTCAGATAGACCCGCTTTCTCCCATGGAGGAGCATTGGGGTCTGTTTGACTCTTCGACCGGGATCCCCTAGGGCATCTACCGGTCCCTTTACCTTTTTGCTGGGTTACGGCGGCGACTACTCCACCCTCTGAAGTTTCGCCACCCGCCTCTGCACCTACTCCCTCCTGGAAGTTGCCGTCCAACTCGATGGTTGATCCATCGTTGTCGACAAACATGATGCATCCTTTCGCCTTCCAGTTGGGAGGCAGTGTCTTCTTTCTCCCTTCCGTAATGGGTGTCTGTCCATGCCCTATCTTTGCTTCCAGGTCTAGGGCCACCTTGCTAAATGAAGGGAAGTTGTGCATATTGATGTTGGCCTCTTTTGCCAACTGGTTCCTGAGAGGCTGTGAAAAACATCTCAGGTACGAAGTCAACAGGACTTGAGGATCATAGCGTACCCCAGGGACACAGATCAAACGCTCAACAGCGTCGGTGGCTTCCCTTACTGACTTAAACTGCCGCGTGTGCAGTGTCAGGATCGCGTCAGTGGCCCTTTGAGCCTCCTGAGGATCATGCCACCTCTCCTCCACCATCTTCATGAAGTCCTCCAATTTCTGGGAGGCCGCCCAAGTGCGGAAGTCATGACCGTATCCTTGAAGTTGTACGAAACCACTCAACCATCTCGTTGCACTACCCTCGAGGTAAGACGCAGCCACAAACACTTCTTTGTGCGGCAAGGTGAGTTTGCACCTGACGTAGACCGGCACTGCCCTCAACCATGTGTCGAGGTCCTCGCCTCTCTTGTCCCCTGTGAAAGGTTTGGGAGCGGCGATGGCCGTCTTTGGAACCCACTGTGTCTGTACCTGTCCCTGCATCAATCCGGGCTGTGGACCTGGTGAAACAGGTTGTTGTGCTAGCTGATGGGGTTGTGTGCCCTGAGGCTGCACTGGCTGCGAGACAGCAGGCTGCGTGGTGACTGCAACCTGTGAAGGACTTGGAGTAAACACTGTCTGTACAGGAACCTGTGAACTACTCCCTGCTGTTACCCCTCCTGATAGCGGCATGCCCAGGGAAACTATTGCAACCGTTGAAGGGGCTACATATGGGGATACCCCTGTCACCGGTGGGACAGAAAAAGGAGGATATGGCACGGGCCAGGCACCAGGCCCTGCTGGTGATGGTGCTGCCTGAGCACGGCCTGCCAACACGGCTAGACTTTGTTGAATGTCCTGAAGGATGGTAGTTTGATGCTCCTGCATCTCAATTACGCCTAGCAGGGCCCTCCAAACTACCTTCACATCATCATCCATATGCGTCAGGTCCATCGTCTCTAACTCCTCTATATCTGCCACTCTTCGTTGCAACCTGGTTTTTCTTCTAATCATCATTTCCTTCTCTGTTTTTATCTGTCCTAAGGCCTGCTGTAGCTGTGCCTCTTGCAGGGCTGCCTGCTGGATGGCGACATCCTCTGGGGTCAACACCGTGGGGTGGCTTGCCATTAAGCTAGTGGATTGACTCACGGTCTGCGCGACCGTAGACCCGGCGGTACCTGAACTACCGGCTGGGGAAGTCTGCTGTGCAGACGTGCTCATGGTTGTGGTAGCCATGGCTGCTGTAGCACCGGCCTCGCTAGCCAATGCCCTGCTAGCCTCGGCTGCTCTAGCTCTCCTTTGCTGCTGCCTCTCCCGCTGCCGGCGGAACAGTTCCCTATCACCCCCCGGTCCTGGGGACACGTGAGATATCGGGCCTCTAGCTGATCGCAAGATCCTGCGGTCGTCCTCTCCGGTGTCCTCACTGTCGCTCATAGGCTACAACAATGTTCACCACCTACACTAGATCATTCACGATGCCTACCGCAGCGTAGTGCACAGACCAACTAATTACTGGTGGCTATTTTGGAACAGACCTCATTTGGGGTCAACAGGTAAGTCAGATTCCTACCGTCAATACTATTTTTAGTAAGATTAGTT